CCTCCTCCGCCGCCGCCGCCCGCCGCCCCGCGGCACCGCCATGATCGTGGAGAGCAGCCGGGACGCGGCGCCCGATGGCGGCGACGGCGGCGGCGCCCTCAGCAGCCCCATCAACCTCGCCTACTTCTACGGGGCCTCGCCCCACTCCAGCGAGGGCAGCTGCTCGCCGGCGCACTCCGCCCCGGGCTCGCCGGGCTCCGACTCGGACCTCTCGGTGAGCAGCCGCGGCGGCGGCCGGAGGGACCCCCGGGGCGGCGCCCGCCCCGCGCTGCAAGGTACGGCGTGCCCCGGCGGCGGTGGTCCCGGCCCCCTGCGCCCGGGGGGAGGGCGCGAAGCCGCGGTTCCCGCGGCGTCCCCACCGGGACGGTCGCGGGCCGTTTTGGGCTTGGAAGCCCCCCGAAGCGGGGAAGAGCGGGAGCCCGGCGTCGGGCAGCAGCGTTTCGCCGGCGCCGGGCTGCTCCCAGCCTTGCGGGAGCGGGCGGGGGGTTCCCCGGGTGAGGAGGGAGCCGCACGCCCCTGAGACGGCGGAGCAGGAGCAGGTGCGGGCCGGGGGGGGAGACGTCGCCTGGGCTCGTCTCCGCTAAACCGGGCGTTCAGGTTGTTTTCCGGAAGCCTTCCCGCTCTCGCTTAAATTTTTTTCTTTTCCCCTTCTCTTCTAAGTGGCAACGGGGTCAGCGGCTTAAATTGGGGTTTTGTTTTCGTTTCTCAACAGTTGAACAGCACATGGGGGGAGGGAAGCAGCACAGAGGCCCTTTCCAGGGGGTCCGTGTGAAGAATTCCGTGAAGGAGCTCCTGCTGCACTTCAGGAGCAGCAAACAGATGTCCTCGGGCTCCGCCGCGGAGGAAGGCAAGGTAACCCGCATTTTTCAGCACTGACATAACCGCCTTTAATGGGTACTGAAGCTGGCAAAAAAAGGCGTGCGATAACGCTGGCAGTGAGCTTGCTGCTTTATCTGATGGGGATGGAGGCAGTGTTTTTCCTTTTCAAGACGTAATGGAAGAGCAGAGCTGGGAAGAAATTAGTGAGAAGGCTTACTGGGGGAGAAGGAGGCACTTGAAAATGTTCTTACTGAGCTTGATTCTCTACAGGGAGTTTGGATAAAGATGCGTTTGTGTTACGAAACCACAGAAACTCCCTGTTAACTCGAATGAGGTCATTCATTGTAGGAGTTGGGGAATCTTCTCAGAAGAGAATCCTTTCTTATGCTGTTGTGCTCCTCCGTGCAGAGCGCACAGTATAAAGGCAGACCCCTCCAGTCTGAAAAGATAGAAACAGAAAAAAATATAGGAGATTCTGGGAAGATTAAAGGGGATTTTTCTGGGTTTAGAATAGGCTTTCTGAGCGTCTCTTTGTGAGCTTCCTAGACAAATGTTGTCACAGGAAAATTTTTGCATAGAAGAGTTCACGGAGTTGAAGTAGTATAAAATTGGCTGGCTTATTTATGTTAAAAAAAAAAATAATCCTCAGACCTCAGTAAGGAACAGTGTCTTGCTCTAGATTTTCTTGACTTTTGTGGTATTGTAACAAATAGCTTAAAAAGCCTTAAGAAAAATGGTGGTTTTCATTTAAGTTCTATAAAAGTCTTTCCATTTTCTAACCTTAATTAAAAGCAATTAAATTAGGGTTAGACAATCATGTACTAGAATTATTCTAAGGTATATTGTATGTTTACAGAAGCAAGTCGCTGCTGCTTTCTTCTTGGTTTTGTGTTTTTTTTTTCCTGAAATAACATTATAATAATGGAATAATATGGATTTTTCTCAAAAGGCACAAGGAGGATTGGTGAACTACGAGCAGTACACAGGTAAAAAAGCCTGCCCCCCTTTTTTTTTTAAATACCCTGCAATAAGATTTTAAAAGTGGATTGTAAGAGTAACCTCCAAATAAATTCTAAATTTTTTTTTCTTTTCAGCAGAGCTGAAGAGCATACTAGGTCACAGTGGCAAAAGAAAGGCTCCTGAGCTCCTTTCTGATGGACCTTCTTTCAAACGCCAAGCTAATGTTCACCCACACCTCCTGGTAAGCTTGTAGTAACTTTTTCCATGCCTTTATTTTTCAGTTTGCTTTGTGTGGTCATAAACTACCAGGTACAGCTATACCTGTAACACTCTGGGGCTTGTTTTGATTTTTCTTTTTTTTTTTTTCTCCTGACAGACACCACCCCAGACACCAACTTCTATGGATAACATGGAGGAGACTCATAAAAACGACCTAAAGCACGACAGCAGTTCTGATCTGCTTCAGAACATCATAAACATCAAGAACGAGTCAAGCCCTGTTTCTCTGAACACGGTGCAGGTTAGCTGGTTGCACAATGTCTCCAGTCACAGCTCACCTGGCGAGCAGTACCAGGACAGCCCGGGAACACAGGCTTTCTCCCCGTCCCAGAAGTACCAAGCATTCCAAGATCACACTTCCCAGCATGTGCTTGATCCACCGCAGCATTACCAGTTCCCTCCATCCCAGAACCAAGATTTGTCGCAGAGCTATCCTTCAGACGCCTCCCTGGAGTACAGGCCGTTTGCTGCCAACGACCAGTCTCCTGGCTACCAGCAGAATACATTTGAGAGCCATGAACTGCAGTACTGCCCGCCGCAGAGCTTCTCCTCCCTCTTGAATGACTCTGAAGGCTCGGAGAGCATCTCTGCTCCCCTCCAGCCGCTGCCCAGTGCCCACCCACAGGCTGATGTCGGCTCCCACGCTCCGAACTTCAGCTTGCTTTCCAGTAACATCTGTGGTAGTCTGGAGCGCAGTGTCTCTTTGGCTACTTTGAATGTCTCTCTACCTGACCAAAACATCGCCAGAAGCACGGCGCAGCTGGGCAAGTCATTTTTTCAATGGCAAGTGGAGCAGGAGGAAAACAAACTGGCTAACATCTCTCAAGAGCAGTTCCTTGCAAAAGACTCGGATGGAGACACGTGAGTGCTGTTTGTCTCGGTGTTTCTGACATGGAAGGGTGGGAAGCGTTTCTGTTTGGCTTTTGGTGGACCATGGGGTTGTAATGGGAGCAGTTCATTAGCAGTGTTTGTGTCATGAGTGCAGTAGTTCTGCTGATCAAGTGAAAGGTGTGGTCTTGCTCATGGGCTGTGATGCACAGAGTTGCAGCACACTGAGTGATAAGGTGTTTGTATTGTCTAATTTCAGGGACTTATCATTAGACTTTTATCTAGTAAATGGGGAGAAAAAGATTGTAGTTTAGATGCTTTAAATTGCCCTGGGAAGAAGGTACCTGTGTTCCTGTCTTAGTCATGCAGAGGAGGTCTGAAGCTGGCAGCGTAACACCCCTCCTATATGTTTGGATCTGTAATGACTTGAGCCCTAGTTTGTATGGTGGCGTAACTCTGTGTTTCACCTCTTTCCTGCAGCTTCCTTCACATTGCTGTTGCGCAGGGCCGACGAGCACTCTCCTACGTTCTTGCAAGGAAGATGGCTGCCCTGCACATGCTGGATATTAAAGAGCACAATGGCCAGGTGAGGTTCTCAAAATCTTTGCACCTGCTTTGTGCACCTGAGTGCTTCTGCGTGCCTGGACCTTGAGGAAGATGTAGTGAAATGCTTATTTAATATTAACCCTGAGATTCAGCCTGCATGCTAATATTAACCTTGAGCTATTAATACTTCTTGGGATCACCTTGAGCTGGTAAAACTATGTGCTCTGCTTCATTTGTCCTGGCTTCCTGGTATTCATAATCGCTGCTTAAATAATACCAGGTAGCTAGGCTTTTTATTTGTTTTAGTTGGTCTTTCCTGTTAGAGATCAGGTGACTAATAGTTTAAATTTTCTTCTCGATGTTTGCAGAGTGCTTTCCAGGTTGCTGTGGCTGCCAATCAGCATCTCATTGTGCAGGACTTGGTTAGCTTGGGGGCTCAAGTCAACACCACAGACTGCTGGGGTAGGACGCCGTTGCATGTTTGCGCTGAGAAGGGGCATGCCCAGGTCCTTCAGGTAAGAACCAGGCAGGCATAGCTCTGCCCTGACTGTTAACGCTTACACTTTGTATTAGTTGTCTTGGGAAACCCTGAAAACACCACTCCTCTCTTTATCTTTCTCTCTGTGTAGCCTTGGGAGTATGTCTCAGGGCTCCACAGTAATGGCTTAAAGTAAGACTGAATTTCACATGAAGGTTCTCACCAATGTTTTAGAGTAATTTGGTGGAATCCTCTAGTCTATGAAAACAATAAATAAGTCTCTTCTTAATGCCATTATTTATTGCAACTTTGTTGCAGTAAGACTGTATACAAGCTTGAGGAAGTAATATGTGGTTTGGATAAGACCTAAATGCATACCTGTTCCCACTTTTGTAGGCAATTCAAAAGGGAGCCATGGGAAGCAATCAGTATGTGGACCTTGAGGCAACAAACTATGATGGTGAGTAGTTGAGTTTATAATTTACAGAGTTACTGGATGTTACAGCGTTTTATAGTTGCTGATGTGAATGTTATCCTGGGTTGAGAAGCAATAAAATGGAGCATGTCTTTGCCAGGTTGAAATTTACAATTACAATTGAAATTACATTACAATTGGCATATCTGCCAGATAAAAACATGGTTAGTATCTGCCTGTCGGGACCTCTTTCCTCTTACATGTGATTGCTGTGTTTGGCATGGAGGGTGTAGGTAGTAATTGGCTATTGCTCAAAACATTTGAGTGCTAGCAAGACGTTGGTGGATACAGAAGCCAGAATCTTTGGCACCGGAGAGCTGTTTTAATTGAACCTCTTTTCCATGTAACAGCTCTTTCTAATGTACATTTTGTAAAAAAATATATTAGAAATTAATTCTTTCATTATCTGTTGGCTGAGAGCTCACAGTAGGTTGCTACTTAATTCCTTTGGTAATGGACAACCTAAATCTCAAGCCACTCAGGAGCAGTCACTGTCACTTATGAGTATGGAACTGTCCCTGGGCTTCTTGGGGGTAGAAGCGCCTTTATCCATCCTTTGAAACAAGCAGCCAGTCAGTACTTCTGTATTGTATTTGTTTATTAATGATGGGTTTTTTTCTGCTGTTAAGGTTTGACGGCATTGCACTGTGCTGTTCTGGCTCATAATGCTGTGCTGCATGAACTGCAAAACAGTCAGCCGCCTCACTCCCCTGAAGTCCAGGAGCTTCTGCTGAGAAACAAGAGCCTGGTAGAAACCATCAAGACTCTGATACAAATGGGAGCCTCTGTTGAAGCGAAAGTAAGTAAAATTACTTTGTCTGAAGTGCCAGATGCAGAGAGAATGTGGAAGCAGAACATGTCCCTTTCTCCCATGCCACATTTCAGCTTTATTACAAAGGAAGTAGACTAATTTGAAAGCTTCCCTACAGCTTAATGTACCCAAGTGGAATGGGAATGTTGCATTTATTCAGAGCAAGGTATTATCAATGCAAATAAACCCTGGGGAAAGAGGGAGGTGACAGTCTAATTTTTGGATTAAGAATGATGCTATGCTGGCTGCAGTTAGTTGTCTCTTAAAAGTAAGAATATGTTTGAAGCAGTCTGAGGTATCTGTAGTAATAGGGTGCTGATGATACCTTGTTCTTGAACTGCGAATTTTAATTAAGAACTGCTTACCTGTCCAGTTTAGGTCTATGCTGGGCCAGACCATTACTTGATATAACATTTGATATTTTGGCTGTGTAAGCTTACTGCCAAATGAGATCTGGTCCATTGTTCATTAGATATATTAAAATATATATTGAGATTGACTTTTAGTGAATTGTAGTCCAAATAAGTTCGTTCAACACTCTGCAGTTACTTTGCGTTCTGCTTTACTTGTCTGTATGTTCACTTTGGATAAGTGAAGCACCTGCAAGGAAGACTAACAGTTTCTTTTTTGACAGGATCGTAAAAGTGGTCGCTCAGCTTTACATTTGGCAGCAGAAGAAGCAAACCTGGAGCTCATTCGTCTCTTTTTGGAGCTGCCCAACTGCCTCTCTTTTGTTAACGCAAAGGTACAGTGATTTTTCTGGAATGCAGATATAATTTTGGATGTGCACATGTGTGGCACCGCGAGTGTCCTGAGAATCATGCCCCTGCCTTTCCTTCACGGAGTTACTTTGTCTTCTCCAGGCTTACAATGGCAACACTGCACTCCATGTGGCTGCCAGCCTGCAGTATCGTGTGAGTCAGTTGGATGCTGTGCGCTTGCTAATGCGAAAAGGAGCTGATCCAAGTGCCAGAAACTTGGAGAATGAGCAGCCAGTTCATCTGGTTCCTGATGGCCTTGTGGGAGAACAGGTAAAAAAACCAAACCACTCTCTCCTCTGCTCCCATCTGTCCCTGTTTACACAAAAGCCATATAACTCTCCAAAAGTTTCTTTGGGGTTTTGAGTTGCAGCTTTTAAGGAAAAGATTTAGCAAATGCCATTTTATTCAGGGATCTTTGGTTTTAATGTCAGGATCAGGCAGAATACACAAAGACCTGAAATTATAGGTTTCACTTGTAGCTTTTTTCCATCTCAAAAGCTTTTTCCTGTCAAGATAGGTTTTTTCCTTTGTAACCTTGCAACCTACTGGAGGTAATATGCTTTCTCTTGTTCATCTCAGTATGGCCTGAGATCATGCTTTTGTTGGTCTTGTCATAATTAGTAATGGCAGTTCTTAGGCCTGAATAACAGATGAAGAAAACCCCCTTTTCCTAGGAGCTATACAAATACATGATGAAAGAGGTGACTCGACCTAAGAAGCTAATAACTTAAGCAACTGAGTAATTCTGTTGCCTTTCATTGGTTCAAATGCTGTAAAATTGGATCAATTCTGGTGTAACTGAGCTCAGAACCTAGGCTCAGATAAATGAGGAATGCAGAACCGGGGTCTAGGGTTTGATTTTTTTTTTTTCAGATTATCACTCACTTTAGGATGATGAATACTAATGTTTTTGTCTTTCTTCTTTTCTCTTCTCCAGATAAGACGTATCCTAAAAGGGAAGGCGATTCAGCAGAGAGTGTCGCCATTTTAAGCTCCATGTTTCTTGGAGTTCAGCAACTCACACTCACTGTCAGTCAGGCAGTCCTAATGTATCTGTAAATAGACCATTTGCCTGGTGTGGGCAAATGTTAGTTGTTTCTATGAAACAAAAGTATTTTGTTCACTATCATATAGTGGGTTATATAAGAGTTAAAAAAAAACCCCAAAAACAAACCCCAAACCCAACAATCAAATTCCTCTGAGCAAACGGGAATGTTTTCATTCCCAAGAATGTGGAACACTTGCCTGGATACCTGGATTTCATAGCTACGGCAAGACTGATTGTATTTAAACAGCCATACAGACAACTTCTGGACAAGGACAGTTCTACACGAAATCTTTTATTTAGAAAGGCTGATACATGTCAACAGTGCAGAGTTGTTTTTTTGTTGTTGTTGTGTTTTTAATAACACTTAAGTGCAAGAGAAATCAAATATTTTTGAAGTTGAACATTAATTTATGTAACTGTAGCTTTCTTCCAGTATCTTGTGCAGGATTGTATATAGTCACTGGCATTATTGTACAGCTGTATAGTTCTAAAAATCTATTGATTGCTTGGGGAATGAACTGAAGAAACAAGTTCCTTGATCTTGAACTTGCAAATTGCATATAGAGTTTTAATACTATACTGGTGAAAATCAGGTAAATTCTGTTGTTTTGAAAGACTGAAGACCGGAAGTACAGTTAAGGTAGATTGTCCCTAGCACTGATTTGTGCATGCTTTTGGAATTGTTGATAGAACATGAAAAGCCATGCTTCTTTAGGGGACTGTATCAGTTTTTCTCATGCCCAGTAGAGGTTTTTCTTTTGACGGGCAGTAGACTGAGGGAGAAGGATCATGACTTCTATCGTGTGTATATAACTTTGTTGGACTTTAAGGAATATGATCCTAATTCAGTGAAAGTATTTAGCATGTACTTAACTGTTGATGCATGCTGAAATCTCTCCATGTTAATTACAATACTTCAATACCTGTAAGCCCCACTAGTGTTGGTAGGACTTAAGCACATGCATAAGTAGTTTGCTGAATTGGACTCTAGTTAATTCTAGAGACTTAGTGTTTTTCACCTCCTAAGCAGAGTTAGTCCATTTATGGTTTTACCTTATAGGTATAGTGGCTAGCCAAGTAATATTTGAAGTTAACGTTTTTCTATTTTTTAATAATTGTGGTTATTAATGCAAAATGTATACTGATGATGCTGTATACTTGTGTTCTGTTGGAGAAAACTTCCTCCTCCTATCACTTTCTGAATGATCCACGCTGAGCTGTAATCCAGTAATATGTTCTCTGTGTGGTCTTTGCTCTTAAACTGTTTTTGCATCACATGCAATTCTGTGCCATAACTGTTTAGTTAGTCTGATTGTGCTGTTTTGACACAGTATGTCTTGTAGACAAGCTAAGTGAAAAAATCTGATATGTGGAGGCCTAGTTGCGATGTATTTCTTGAAGGTTCTCATGTAACCTGTGTTCGAATAAACATGCTAATTAAATTTTGGTGGTTACTGTCTGTGATACAAATAATGATGATGAAATCAAGCTTGAGATAAAACTGATTTAGCACGGTAATACTGTGAGGCTGGTGAAGATCGTTTGTTATGGATGAAATGAAGTCTTCATCCTGCTGTTTATGCTTTTTCTTGTTTGATGCTGGTTTTGGAGCTGGCGCTTGGGTGTTCTGGGTCATGCACCATGCAGTTTTATTGCGTGTGTGTTTAGTAGATGTGCCCCAAATAGAGTTAATAGTCACCAGGCTGTTGAAATAGCAGGTTGTCACCTGAACACTTGTCCCTGTGTACTTGAAACAACGATAGCAGTTCTGACAATGTCATGTTTTCCCCATGACTTCCTTGCCTTGGTCCTCAATTCTTACAGCTCAGGTACAAGCAGTCACCTCAGTGCAGGTGGAAGCGTGCATGAGCAAATGAGGCTATACACATGGGGAAAGACTGTCCTTGCTCCACAAATACAAAGATGGGCTCTGAGCTGGCCATGACCTTTCAGGAGGAAGAACTGGCATCACAGACTGTCCTTGCTGAGCGCTGAGCTGGTGAGATGGCAACAGTCAAGAAGTGGATGAAGCATTAGGATCTGTAGGAAAGGAACTGAAGAAAACCAAGAGTGCTTCTATGCTACTGTATAAACCTGTTGTCCACCCCTGCCTTACTGCTGCGTCTGGTTAGGGTGTCCCCTCAGATGAAAGTGTTTTAGGTGTGGAGGAGCTTCCTTGCATGGAGCAACAGAGCAAACAGGGCTCTTCAGCTGTAGAAGCAATGGCTGACAGCAAGCTTGACAGGCCTGCAGGGTGATGTCAGGCCAGAGAAACTGGATGGGGATGAACTGCTCGCTGTCCCTTCCAGCGTGAGAGCTGGAGGCTATTAATGAAGGTACCAAGCACATAACAGACAACAGGAGGTGATTCCTTGAGATGGTGGAAGAAAATGGTAGAAACAAAGTAATTGTCGGTGCAGGGAGGGCCTGGGTGCATACTTAGAAGGACATTTTTGTGGAGTTACTATAGAGGTTAACCATATGAGGCAGTCCTCGCTGTGTGGAAGGGTGAAGAACTGTACTGCAGGCTCGGCCTGCTCAGCTCTTCCCAGGGGACGTGCTGGTGGACACTCTAGCAGATATGATACGAGACTGGATCATAACCTTTACTCAAATCGTTGTGGTTAGGCTTTTGGTGGTTCATGGGTTCAGTCTGGCTCCGCTGATATTGGTTGCACCTTACGTGAGAAGAAAATGTAGGAAAATCATCTTGCAGGCAGTTGAGTGCTTCAGGGGAGTGCTCGCAGGTCCTTTGCTCTGCTCCTGCTCCGTGCAAAAACTCATCCCTGGAAGTCTTAAAAATGGCTTTTGGTGCTGAGCTAAGGTGACCGAGAGAGGAGGCTGTACATGGTTTAGCAGATAAGAGTGGGAAATGGTGAGGGAGACTGGAAATGGAATTGAATTTCTAGTTACGGTATATGAAGATGAAATGGCACCTCCTTATGTGAACAGCTAATTGGGCCTAGACTGTGTTGAAGATGCTGTCACCTGCACCTCTCACTGCAAGTGACCCTGCCTTAGGTGTTTATTTATTTATTTTGTATGAGGAGCTTGATAGTACTGTTTCCACTTCATTTCCATTTTCTTTATAAGAGGTGATTACACAGGAAAAAGAATTGCTGGTGAGATATTCTGGCCCTTCAGATCAGCCCGATCTGACTGCCTGGCACTCCTTTCTGGGTGGTGTCGACTGAGTCATCTCGCAAAGGGGTAAAGTACCTTGGGTTTGTAAGGGTGGCAGAGCATAAGCATGTGTTCAGTCAATGCTTGAGCATGAAGTAGGTGCTGCTGGTGAGAGGCATTTAGCAAGCGGCGTGGGGCTTTCAGCGGCACTTGCGCCCTTCTGGAAGAGGCACCCCTGGCACTCCAAGTTAGAAAATTCCTAAGGGGAGACTGAAGTGTTTGAAGCTAATTTAATCTGCCTAGAGCCTGTTTCATTGTCTGAAGAGCTCAGTAGGCAATTTCACAAGAAAGCATCCCTACTCTGACTGACTCATTGTTTTCTCCTATGATATTGGGAAGTTCTGGCGTATCTGACATGATATAACTAGTTATTGGAAACAATCCCTTTTTACTGACGGGCAAGTGACACTAAATATTTAGCAGGCTAATAGTGTTTACCTGAAAACTTATGGTGCTAGGGAAGTGCTGAATAGCTTTTATTGATGTGGATGCAGGCGCACCATTTATTTGTCTGGCTGGAGTAGAGGCAGCTCTGGCTTGGGTCCAAGTAGGGTTATTAAGACACATGGAGCTTTGTTCCCAGGATGTTTCTGATTTGTTTGTCTAAGTAAGCCAAACCTCAGGAAAGGGTTGCCCTTTGATTTTTGTGAGCTACTCATCTGGCTGGTGTTGTGGAAGGTGGCAATCCATGATTTGCAAAAAATGTGTTCTGCTTCTGGGGATGGAAAAAGTACATTTCCCACATTTATTGCTCATTTTATATTTTTATCAGAAAATGAAAACAGAGCCAGGAAGTGCATTCTTAGAGAGGTTGGGTGTGGTAGAAGCGACTGCAAAGATATGACATGAACTGCTTGTTCTTCTTGCCTGACAGTTTGCTTATCTGGTTGCCTTTCTTTTAAAAATAAAAATGCTCTCCTGTGTAAGGGAAGAGCTGAGGATGATTAAAGTGCACTGAAGATGGGAAGATAAAGAGCAGGTTCCTGCAGTTAAGTATCTGCCAAAAATTGACCTGGTCTTTCAGTGCATTCAAAACAAATTCTTCTATTGTTATCTATTACCTTTCCTGAGTGTTTGGTGGTGGTCTTGGCCTGAGGTACTGATGTCTTAGGAGGGTCTTGCAACTGACTCCTCAACAAGTTGGTTAAGTGTCACCCAGCCTCCAATAGTGCTACCTTTCACTTTTTGTGAAAGGGTATAGAAAGGCACTTTTGTGCCTGGGTATAGAAAGGCAAGCGCCCAGATGTCAGGGCACCTGTCAAGCAGCATCCTACCTCCCTTCCCTGCTGCAGCGGGGGCTCGCCTGGCAGCATTTTGCTATTTTGAGAGGAAGCCTCTCTTAGCATCTTTGAATTTCTTCTAGAAGATGAAATACTAATTTGAGAGGAGAAAGGTTTAGTTTGCTCAAGGGATGGGCTGCTGATATTTCTGCCTCTAAAGGAGGCAGAACTAGCCCCTAAATGAAGTCATTCCTGACAGGTGGCCTTGCTATCTGGGATTGCTCATCTGTACACAAAGCCCGTATGGGCAGCTCTGTTTCCTAGCAAAATTTCCAGAGTGTTGCTGGCTAACGGACCAGTGTTTAATCTTACAGTATTTCTTTAGGTCTGATCACCATTAGGAAAAAACTTAAGGCAGCACTAATTGTCGTGGTTTAACCCCAGCCAGCAACTAAGCACCGCGCAGCCGCTCACTCCCCCCCATCCAGTGGGATGGGGGAGAAAATCGGGAAAAGAAGTAAAACTCGTGGGTTGAGATAAGAACGGTTTAATAGAACAGAAAAGAAGAAACTAATAATGATAATGATAACACTAATAAAATGACAACAGTAGTAATAAAAGGATTGGAATGTACAAATGATGCGCAGGGCAATTGCTCACCCCCCGCCGACCGACACCCAGCCAGTCCCCGAGCGGCGAA